TTATTATTATTATTATTATTATTATTATTATTATTATTATTATTATTATTATTATTATTATTATTATTATGCTATTACAAATCTTCCAAAAAAGGCGAAGCAATAGTGTAACTCAGTTGTTTCCTTCTCTCCATCATGACACCCACTTGTACGACCAAGGTCATCGGAGCTTGCAACAATACCAGCATTTGCGCAAAGCGGTTTCGTCATATTGATCTGTTTCAAGTCGGAAGAACTATTTGCTTGTCCGTGTGCCGACATGTTGAAGATATGCGTTTGAACCGATGTACCGCCTCAACTTTTCGAATTAACTATTAATTCGACTAAACAAGGAGTTCCTTCCACTACTATTTGAGGCGGTCGGCTGAAGAGTCCGGAGGAAACAAATGAAGAATCGGTGAGGTAAAGCATGTTGCTCCAGAATGGACGAAGAAAAGTCCTGATCGCGGATGGAATTCTTCGGGGCCCGAGTGTTTTGAATGACAATAATGAGTTTTGACCGATCTGCTAAAAAACAATTAATCTGAAATACCAAAAACGTACCCAGATTTGCTAGCAACCTGCTAGCTTTCGATTTCGCCTGCAGCAATAATATTTTCTTGTCACTGTGTTCAAGTGGTGCCTTTTTGTGCCTATGCACTGCAAGTGCTAAAATGCTAAAACGCCGTGAAGCCCTGGCTTGCTTAAACTGCCCTCTAGGCTAGTAGAAGCAAACGGACGGCACGCTACGCTGTGCAAAAATCCCGAGAAGTGGAAAGAAAATGTAATCTCAAAATTGCGATGTTTAACAATCCGCCTTTCTAGTCTTTTCTGGCCATTTTGAGCAAGACAATACAGATCCCGTAAGTCCATCTGGAAAAACTCGTGATTTTTTCCATCGTGACAAAGAGCGAGAAGATCAGCCTAAGTCGTCCTCCTGGTGAATGTGTCTTCGTCAGAACAGCTGACCACTAAAACATTCCACAGAATGATTTAGCTACATAAAGCGTTGAACAAATCTTAAGAAATATTATGAAGTGCAGCGATAAAAAATGCAACGAGAAGCATTTCCTCAAGGACCTCCTTTTTATCAGTTTATTAGCAGAGTCTTCTGACGTGCTCTACGTTGAAACGGCATGGAGTTCAACCAGAGTTAGTCCGGCAGCGTTATCCGTCAAACATTCTCAGTTAGACAGACGTTGAAAAAAAGCAGTACAGCGAAATATGTCGCAAAAGACGCAACGGCTGGTCTGGTCTCTGCCTTCGACTTGTGAAACAACTTGAAAAGAGGGTCGACGTGGATTTAGGAACTTTCCTCATAGGACCCGTCAATCATCCATGAATGTAGGGCAATTATAGATATATCAGCTAAGGACGAAGCTCCTTAGAGGAAATATTTGAACTAAGACTTGTTAGCGAATGAGTCCTCATGTAATTTTAGCTTTGAAACGGAGCGGGGTGAGGGTATTTAAGTGAGACGTACGGATATGAGATATTATGCACAAGCATTCAAGATGTCCAGAAACTGAAACCTGTCCAATGCCACATGAAATGATGCATGTTGGGTTGAAATTAAAATGGGCTGGACATATTTCAAGAAAAATATACCATCGCTGGACTAAGAACATAATAGATCGGTTTTCAAGTGCTATCAATGACAGTTGCATGACCTCCAGGTCGGTAGCAATAATAAATCAATGAGTTTATTGGAGCTAGACGACTGAGTCACAAGCAGCATTCTGGCAAAATCTTGGAGAAGCCTCCATTGAACAATGTATCGAAACGCTCATGATGATTTTGTCTACGAGGATGGGTCAAAATCATAATTTAAACAAGATATCGTAACGTGGTGATGACAACGTGGTAGATTATATTTTATTATCTATTGTTGATTAGGTAAATCGATACTAAGTGATCCTTTCCATCCTTTATATCAGGCTGTTTTAAAAATTCGGCTTGAGATTTCGGCTAATCAATTCGAAATACATCTGCATTTACTCAGGACTGATTTGTCAGACTTTGCCAAATGCAGAATGGGAAAGACTAAATCCTCTGAAATTGATCCTATCTTGCAAATCAATACATTAAGATATTCATTATCATATTAATTTTCGAATCATCACTCCTTCACATGTGCTTTCACTCTGTCATTTTAGTGTATTTTTATATACAGTAAGCTTTCTTGATTGATTTGGTTAATATGGTCAAGCTGGGCTTGAAAGTTTATTTTTTCATGTACGACGATTGCAACACGAAAAAAGATGCTGACACGTGATCGAATCAATCTGTATAAGCAGGGCTGAAAGGACTAGTTGATGATGGGTGCGACTTCTCTCAAACTGCAGGTATACAGGAATAATTAGGTTCCAATCTGCGATACCGTAAACCAGCAGTAATACCAGACTAATGTGTATGTATACGGGGAATAACAAACCTGGAATTTCACCGGAAGGCAGTCGTATGAGCAAAAAAACTACATGATGCAATATTCGAGCGCAATATGTAAAAAAATGAATAATTGCATCAAGAAAATGTCATTCTTTTATCAAACTCAGTCAACGAGACAAACGACGTGAGCAGACGGTCAGATATTTGCAGAACGCATACTTGAGTACTGTATTTTCGCGTGCACGCTAATATAGTGAATATTTTTCACGACTTCGAAAGGTTCAGTTGGTGCAATGTTTATGCTGAACACGGCACGCTGTAATCAGACCGTTCACAAAACATTTTATTATACAAACAGAAAATAAAAGTTCTGATATTAATTAGTGTCAAATTTTAAATAAAGTTACATGAAATAAAAATAAACAAAAATAACAAAGCGTCCTTAATCTGGGCCGATGGCGTTTCGCTTGTCCTTCCACCATTTGATGGTGCGCTCCATGGCTTCTTGCGGCTCGTACACAGGCTTATAGTCGAGAACCAAACGTGCCTTGGAGCTAGTCGCGGTCAAAGTCGAGTAATTCACCATTCCGAACGCGTGGCTGTTCATCATCAGATGGTCGTAACGGACGCCGAACGCGTAGAACAGAAACAGAAAGAACCACTCAACAACAGCGTAGAGTACAAAGACTGCGGAATATGGCAGGTCTAAGTTGCGCAGCTTGCAGCCGGCGTTTCGCGCGAAAGGCTCTATGTAGGAGTAGAAGTTCACAGCAACTGTTTCGTCCGTACAGTTGAACACTTCGCCGTCGAGCACGTCAGGCTTCTGCATCAGATGCTCGGCAGCCAGCAGATGCATATATGCGCAATTTCCAGCATACGTTATGCTCATCGGGCCATTGGCCTTGTTTATGGCCGACAGTGTTCCGTGCTGCGTACAAAACTGCAAATAGTACGGTACCAGCCAGTTGTCCCCTTCGCCGTATAGTATAGTTGGCCGTACGGTAACCACTTTCACCTCCTTTCCTAAAATGGGAAATGATGAAACGGGCAGAGATTCTGTGCATGCCGAAATTCAGATTTAAATTTAAAAATTTATCATTATTCTTCTTAACACGATCATTTAAAAAATTATCATCATTCAACAATTGACAGCTTTGAGCGTGTCTTCGATTCTTTGATATTTCTTAATCGTTGAGGAAATTTTCCTTCATTCCTTCTATTATTTGGGTAACTAAGAAATGATGATGGATGATGATGTTAATGTTCGATGTTCACACCGTCATTAATGTATAATTTTTTCGTCGAATCAAGAAAATCATTTGGATTCTGTGCCACTGTTAATACAAAAGCACTTACTGAAATTCGACGTCCTCTTAACAAAGGAGTCAATGACAGTCGAAATCGATCTAATGCAACGATCATAACTGCAATGATCATTTTAAAGTCAAAGAAGAAGCATAATTAAATACAGAACTCCAAGATTTTCATTGATGGATGTAAAACAAATAATTTACCTGCTTAAAGTTTCCTTATGATCCTTTATATGTGCAATGACTCATGTTTTAAGAGTTTAATGCTGCCATTCTCGTGAACAACTTCTGTTACATTATCGAGGTTCACTGCTTCGATTGATAAGTGAGCTTTCGAGTGGTTACATTACATCAGCACTGAAGCAATTAGACGATCTAATAATTTTAGTCTAAATTAAGGTCTCAGTTTTGTAGTTCTTGTGTTCTTTTCTGAAGAATACGGTTTTTGGCTGAGATTGGGAAATATTTGTTAAACTGTTTTAAAATCTACAATTCAAATGTACTGAAGCCAATTAATTACAAGAACAAAATTAATTAACACCGTGCATTTCGTCATAGCATTGCATCATCATCAGAGCACAATCGCTATGGTCACCATGGAGTAAAGCATAATGCCATTGGATAGGCAAAGAAAAATTAGACATATATGACATCCTGATTAATTTAATTCCATTTTGCTTCACTGATAAGTCCATGAAAAGCAGATTATGGAAACGTGTAACATTCATAATTGTGTAAAAGAGGCCAGCGCTGAGGAATAAAATTACAGTTCAAAAGAACTTCAAAGATGCAAAGGCAATCATCAAATCAAAAGGA